TTTCAACAATCTTTGGATTCAGGTATTGTTCCCAGTTTGTGGAAAAGAACATTGATTATACCTGTTCCTAAGATAGCTAGGCCTTTAGAGAATAATGATTTTAGACCGGTTGCATTAACATCTGTGATTATGAAATGTTTTGAAAAGTGTGTTGTATCTATGTTGAAAGCAGAGGTTGCTAGTAATCTAGATCCCTTACAGTTCGCCTATAGACAAGGGAGAGGAACTGAAGATGCTATTAACAGCATTATGCACTTGATTTTGAAGCATTTAGAAGATCCTAAAGCTTATGCTCGGTTACTGTTTGTTGATTTTAGCTCTGCTTTTAACACGATTCAACCGCATTTGTTAATTGATAAAATGAAGCAGCTGAGTGTAAACCCATGTATTATTAAGTGGTACTATTCTTTTTTAATAGATAGAATTCAATGTGTAAAGGTAAATAATCTTCTTTCATATCAAAAGAGTAGTAGTACAGGTGTTCCACAAGGCTGCGTCAGTTCACCTATTCTTTTTACACTTTTTACAAATGAATGCTTAAGTAGGCATTCACAAAATTTTATTTTTAAATATTCAGATGACACAGCCATACTAAGTCTACTCCATGGGCATGACAATATTAGCACTATTTACCAGTCAGAGATAAGTCAGTTTGTTGACTGGTGTGATAAAAATGAGCTAATAATAAATACAAAGAAAACGAAAGAGATTGTATTTGATCCAAAATGTATAGGTGACCATCGCCAAGTGGTTATACATGATCACAATATTATTCAGTCACAGACCTATAAGTACTTGGGTGTTTATATAGATAGTTCACTTATATGGAAAACACACATTGAATGGGTTTGCACTCGACTACAACAGAGATTGTATTTCTTACGTAGGTTACGTCTCTATGGAGTAAACAAGAATCTTATGCTGCTGTTTTATAAAGCTGTTTTAGAAAGTATTGTTAGGTATGGTATAACCGTGTGGTTTGGTAACCTATCAGTACAGTTTAAATCTAAGTTGATGCACTTGTTATTGACAGCATGGAGAATTGTTGGGCATGATGAACATTTTAACCTTCAAGTTTTATATGAGGAATGTGTTCTTAATCAGGTAGAGAGGATTCTTGGTGATCAAACTCATTTCTTGTATTTACAATATGAACTACTTCCCTCTGGTAGAAGATATAGAATCCCAATGTGTAAGTTAAATCGATATAAGAATTCCTTTGTACCTGTATCGGTGCGGGTGTACAACAAGAGTTCATCTTGATTTTATTTTCATGATTTTATTTAATTTTTGTTTTTTTTTATATGTTTATTGTATGTCTGCAGCAACATGTAGTCCATAACAATTTTCCTCTTGAGGACAATAAAGTATACTACTACTACTACTACATGCATTCATGAGTGTTTTGGTGTTTTTTTATTTTCTTGCTCAGATTGACACTAACATAATTTCACATTTGCCTCACTGGCCGAAAACAACGGATGGTCTGAAAGGCACAGCGTAAAAGTGGCTGTGCTGGTGAACGGTGTGACATTTCCAGAGGCCTAAGAACATTTAAGATATATGCCAGGAAGACAAAAGAATAACCGATGTGTAGATAACAACATACTGCTTTGTTTCTTGGACTGCAGAGCGAAAATGTATGCCCTAACAGCAAGCATTACAAAAATCATGTTAACTTGGTTTGTATTGCAAGCCCAAGGGAAGCATCCGCACAAGACTCTCATGTGTACCAATGAGGGCTCAATGCTCGCCAGTGGACTGTTTGCTTTTCCAACAATGCATCATGATAATGTCAGTGACAGTTTTATTAGATGAAGTCTTCTGTGATGGATTTAGTGAATTCTGGATAAGTAAAAGCAGAAATAAAGTGTGCTCAGCTGTGCTGAACATGACATAACAGCCTATGATTAATGCATCACAAGACCCTTGTTGTGCTTTAACTGTAAATGAAATTTAATCACAAATTCTTCTCTCAACTTGAAATAGTTCACCCCAAAATGAAAATTTGGTAAAAATTTACTTACCTTCGGGCCATCCAAGATTTAGATGAATTAGTTTTGTCTTCAGAACAGATTTGTAGAAACTTAGCATTACATCACTTGTTCACCAATGGATCCTCTGCAGTGAATGGGTGCCGTCAGATTGAAAGTCCAAACAGCTGATAAAACATCCCAATAATCCACAAGTAATCCACACCACTCCAGTCTTATGAAGTGAAAAGCTGACATTTTTAACTCCAAACCAATGCTTCCGGTTGAAATCCTGTAATGTAAAAATCTGTAATATTGCTTTCTTTAGTGAAAAAGTCATCTCATGTGAATCAGGAGAGAAATATGCACAGACCAAGCACCATTTGCAAGTGAAAACAATCCATGATTTTAATGTGAGAGACAACAGGAAATGGACTTTATCACTGGTAGAAGCATCATTATCTGTTATGGACTTTGGAAGTGATGGCTGACTTTGCAAAAAACCCACTTTTGGAACTTTTATAAGTAATAGCACAGACGGTACGGGACAAGTATGTGCCAAAATGTAATACTAGCATTATTTGAAGAATTGCAGCATGGCAAATCTAGTTGCCAAGTGTTATTTAAATGTATAAGAGGCTTAAATGTATTACAAACCTAAAAATGATTAAATTAGTAAGCACACAGCAAAAAAAAATCATCCACTCACAAAATTAAATCACCTTCATGTTTGGCCAGCTTGGCCAGGTTGCAGCAAAGCTTTTGTAAAAAGACTGCAGTCATTGTCAAGCAACATACAAAAAAAATGCAGTTTAAAAAAACGGAAAAGTGCAGTTTCTCACCAATTAACCTCATATGCTAATTTCTTTCTTTGACCATTGTGTTATTTTCATGGCATTAACATACTCCCATGCCTGTCTGCAGCATGTTGCCATGCTGTGGGGAGTGCTGACATCTTGCAGTAATCTCAAGAGACCCAGAAGTAGGCAGAGCGCATACATTTTACAGCTGCCCTGTCAATGACCACTTTCACAGGAAGCTAGTGGATCTTCCAGACGCTAGAAATGGTCACTTGAGCTAATTATGCCTGTGAATTTTGTGTAAACAGCCTTGAGAACAGTTTCTCAGTTCCTGTCCAGTGGACCTACTGTCCTCTCACTTTATCCTCTTCTTTTACTGTATCAGCTAGTGTACGTTATTCCATATGAAAATAAACACTTGTCTTTGTATTTCATAATCACATCTATAGTCACAGTCACATTCCTATATGAATAGTAACGTCATATGCACTGCCGATAAAAAGTTAGGTATTTTTTTAAAGAAATGTATACTTTTATAAACTGATGAAAAGTGACAGTAAAACTTACATCCTGAAAATTTTTTTTTTTGTTTCCACAAAAATAAGAAGTAGCACAACTGTTTTCAACATTGATATTAATAATAATAGTTTCTTGAGATCTGCATATTAGATTGATTTCTGAAGATCATGTGACACTGAAGACTGGAGTAATGATGCTGAAAATTCAGCTTTGCATCACAGGAATAAATTGCATTTTAAAACATATATTCAAATAGAAAATTGTCATTTTAAATTGTAATAATATTTCAAAATATTGCTGTTTTTACTGCATTTTTGAGCAAATAAATGCAGCCTTGGTGAGCAAAAGAGACTTCTTTCAAGAACATTAAAAACTTTGTAATGGTAGTGTGTATATATATTTGTTCTCAAATGGAATAGAGAGGTGGCATTTAATGCAAAACAATTAAGCTTTTTTTTAGTAATGGAACAAGGAAAAGTGATATTTAATCATTTTTATATGCCAACATGAAAATACAAAATGAATCGATATGTAAAATTGAATTTTTTTTTAATATAAAATCATTTTAATATATGAACAAATTCAATACAACCACAAGCAAATTTTGTGTGATGACACCAAATAATCTTTAAATCAGATTTGGAAACAGTTTGAACTGATTCATTGAAGTGAATCAAACTTACCAACTCTTCTGCTGTTTTTACACACTCTCAGCATCATTAGTCTGACGCACACCAGTCTGATATCATCCAGGCGAAGAGAAATGCACATTTGAGGGAAATCTAGGTTGAGCATGACTAGAATAATTTAGTTTTGTTCCTACCTCGTGATGCAGTCGGTCAGAAGTAGTTGAATTATGATCGGCTGCTAAATGTGAGGGCAATTTCAATATGACCCGATTAGCATCATCAGGTTATTGTGGGCCGACCCGTTTGATGGATGTTGGCAAAGATGAAAGACACAAGCCTACAGACAGACAGTCCAGATTTTCTGCGCAAGCAATTATCACCATTATGTAATAAATCAAGATAATAGATGGCAAAATATCTCATAGCGGTCAGGAAGGCGCATCTGTAAGCGAGCGGGGGAAGAAAACATTGAGGCAGCGAGGTGTTGAGATGTAAATGTATTCATCAGAAATATCTGTCCTTAATCTTGGCAACATTTCCTGGACTTCAAAGGCTGCGGGTCCCCACAGGAGAGCTCTGAGTCATGCAGCGCTTATTATTTATGCACTTTACCAGATCTGTCAGTCAGCTGCTGAAGAGCAGCCAATTAATCATTTCTCGGTTTTCTTTCTCTCTGCAGCTCTCTTATGCGATCATAGCTCGTTCACACTCCAGACCTTTTCAATCATAGCGGTCAGAAAGGAGTATCTGTAAGCGATCAGGGAAGGAAAACAACGAGGCAGCGGGGTGCTGAGATGTAAATGAATTCATCAGAAATATCTGTCCTTAATCTTGGCAACATTTCCTGGACTTCAAAGGCTGCGGGTCCCCGCAGGAGAGCTCTGAGTCATGCAGCGCTTATTATTTATGCACTTTACCAGATCTGTCAGTCAGCTGCTGAAGAGCAGCCAATTAATCATTTCTCGGTTTTCTTTCTCTCTGCAGCTCTCTTATGCGATCATACCTCGTTCACACTCCAGACCTTTTCAAAGCATGTCAACATGTGCTATTTCTGTCTTTGTTCTCCCTCTCTCACGCAGACTAACAAAGCAGTGACTAAAGGAGACTTTCACCACGCCAGCTCCAGCTCCAGACGTGCGCTCTTCCTCGCCGTACTGTCCATCACCATCGGGACGGGCATCTACGTGGGTGTGGCTGTGGCCCTTATCGCATACCTCTCCAAAAACAATCACTTGTAGCCTTCCCATGCCCAAATCACTCTCACAGTCGGATAAAGACTGGTTCACTTTGGGATCAGCTTCTTTGGGAAACACCCGATGGTCACGATACGGGACTCACCAGCAATGTGTTCCACTCCTGCACTTTTAAAAGTCGCGTTCCCATTTCGTTGGGAAGATCATCGTTTGTGTAAATTGCATTTTCATGTGAATGTGCCGCCACCACAATTGTTTTTGTTTTTTTTGCGCTCAGTGTTTGTGCAAGTGCAAATCTAATGCTACACACACACACGTTTTGGGCCAAATTAAAGTCAATATGAAATCAAAATGGACCTGATTTATTTTCTTAATGCTTGTTCTTAATCATGCTGAATTCATCAAAATGTATTTATTTGCTCTGCCACTGCACAACTTTCTATTTTTTGTCATCAGATAGGTGGCCTATCCAGTAAGTTCCCATTGGATGAAATCAAGGGCCGGTTGCACCAGCTGTGCGCAAGTTACAGCTTAGTCTAATTTTGATGCAAAGGTCCACTAAGTTACAACTTATGGTGTGTGCACACCAAAAGCAAACTTTCTTAAGCGAAAAATTTTGCTTTGCATTTGGTGTGCATACACCATTAGGCAGTAGTAAATATTTTTGCATTGCAACAACTTAATGTATAAACTAAAAATGTACTAAATAAGCCTCAGACAAGAAGTAACTGTTGGAATAGAATAGCAGATTGATTGAGTTGCATCAATAAGCTCATGATTTACCTTACAAACTACAATTCTTTAGACATACGATGTAAGGGCGTTTATTTTGGGGGGGATTATTTTAATGATTATTTAACAATATTTTGCAGAGTGTGTATTTTGTGCTGATCGGTCGGATTATGCCTCTTATGGATAAATAAATATTACACTAAAGCTTCCAGTAAGTCTTAATGAGTGATTCATTGACTCATTCATTCAAATGATTTGTTCAAAACGGCTGATTCATTCAGAAACAAAGCAAGTAACTGTCTTTATGAATGGATCATTGAATCATTGACTCAAAATGATTCATTCAAAAATAGATTCATTCAGGAACAAAACACAGCAGGATTTCTCTGAGATGTAAAAATGTACACTAAACTATTTTCATTGACGAAACAGGAAAAAAAGACAATTGTGTCAAATGTAATACTGAGTGTATAATAATCATTTAAAATGAACTTCTTGTTTGTTGAATGATTGTATAAAAATCAATATCACATTTGCGATCAGAGTCACACTCTAATGTTCAAAAAATGGCACACTTGCTTGTGTGATATTACTGAACTGTCTTAAAAATGTCTTATAAAAAGATGTGTTTTTGTTTGTTTTTTTGCCAAGTGAGAGACATTGAATATGTCAGCTTGCACATTGCTAAAACAACAATTACGATACTGCAGACAATACATATTGTACACCCCGAATATGATGACATTTACTCTTGTTTACATTTTGAGAGAACATTATGCGAAAAATATTGTTTACGAACCCAGTGCTTACAACCTACTGGCTACACTCTGCTTTATAGGAACAAATGGTGCAACAAAAATCAAGCACAGAGTTAGCTACAAACTAGCTAGTAGTTACTAAAAATCTAGTGTGGACTTGTTCCCATTTAAGTAAGAACTTACAAACGGCTGGTGTAACCCTACCCAGGCCCAGGTCCCTACAATTTTTGTTTTACTTGGAAACATACCTTTAAGTAAATTAAAAGGGGTTAAGAACAAAACTTCATGTTGACTTTAATATTGGTTTGTCATAATAACAGTATTTGGTATACAGATCTAATCCGTCTAAAGATCTGAATGGGATCTGAATCCGAATCTGAACAGTCAGAGATTTTTCTTGAATGTTTTTGGAGTACACGAAGCATCTGTCTGAAGTGCCACAGTGCTTTCAAGCCTTTTTAATAAGAGCTACTGAATCTTAAGGTCTGTGACACATGAAGGGGCATTTTCAACTCTCTTTTGATATTACAGACACAAAATGAACATAAAGCCATATAGATGGGTTGCTCAAGACTTTTTTCAGAATGTATGGATAAAATCATTCTTGTGGGGCTGTCACATTTAATATTAACTACTCTGTAATTAATTCTTAAGGCTTTCAGTTTATACACGTCAGTCTATGAAGCTCTAAATGCCTCCGCTGTCAGATTTTCTCCTAATACTTTGGGAAACACCTCTTGCCAGCAAGCTCATGCTAATTAAATGTGGTCTTTTCATTCAAATATTGTGTTGGTGTTTGCTGTCAGATCTTTTTATGAACTTTGATGAACTGTTGCAGTTATGTTAATGTATGTTAAAGGAATAGTTCACCCTAAAACTAATGTGTGATTTTTTTTTTTTTTTATTTAATTCAAAACGTCTACTGTATGAATTTCTTTTGTGTAACATAAAAAAGATATTTTGAGAAATGGCTCAGTGTTTGTTTTGTCCATTCAGTCGAAGTCAATGGTCACCAAAACAGTTTGGTTAATAGCATTCTTCAAAATATCTTCTTTTGTGTTTTCTAAAGAAAAAATAAAGTCATTTAGGTTGTATTTTTTCATTTGTTACAGTGTAATTACTATAGTTTTTATAATTACTATAATTAGTGCTATAGGTTTTGATTTAACAGTTAACAATTTACAGTTATTATTATAGTAAATACCAATGTTGGGAAGGTTACTTTGAAAATTTAATAGGTTACAGATTACAAGTTAGCTTATTCAAAATGTAATAAGTAATGTAACTTTCAATTACTTTATTAAAGTAATGTAACGGATTACATTTGATAATTTTTTTATAAATTTTGTAAAATTTTTTGTGTGTATAATATATATATATACACCTTGCTACGTGTACTGCGTTAGGCTAACCGAGACTTGTCATTTGCACTTATATATTGTTGCTCTTTTGTTAGTTTTGACTGCTTTTATAGTCCTCATTTGTAAGTCGCTTTGGATAAAAGCTTCTGTTAAATGACTAAATGTAAATGTAAATTTCAACTGTTAATCATTTTCAAACATTTAGGATTAACCTTACAGTATAGTACTCAATGCTGATTACTGTCAGACTTTCGAAATCCTTCATCACTTGACGTCAGTTAAGATTATAAAAATTTAATTTTAAAGCACAACCACCACAATAAATTGTATTACTTTATCACTTTATCAGAAGTAACCCCCTTTGTAATCGTTAACATTTTCATAAGTATGATTAAATAGGATTAAGATTGGGTTACATTACATAAATGTGGAAAACATGTGACAGTGATTTATTTTGGGATTTTATTATTCTTTTAAAAGTATCCAACTTGATTAGTTTCAGCTCTGTTGTTCTCTGTCCAGAAGTTTTCATTCCTCAGTTCCCATGGGCTGACTGAATAACTAAACACCTGTGCATATTTCATAGCGGCACAGTTTGCCAGAGATATCAGCTAAGCCAATTTATGCATTTTACATGCAGGGATGCCTGAGGTTAGGATCTCAAAAAATTGCAGCTTTCCTATAAAAGTAGGTGGCTTGGGAAACACTGCTTCCCAATTAAGGGGACTCTCAGGTTATCTGAACAGGATGCTATCTAGTAATAATTAAACCTGTAAAGCCTGACGTGCGATATAATAGTCAGAAAAATCTGATTTTTTGCAATGGAACAGCTTATTGAACCTTTACATTTACATGTGTTTGTTTAGCTTTTATCCAAAGGACTTAAAAATTTGAAATACAACCAGCGTTTCATCATGAAGAGGCAAATAACATAATACAAAGTTTCAGACATTGTTTAGAGTAGTACAAACTGTCTTTATGTAGACACAATCAATCAATCAATCCCTTTTTTGAGTATCATATTTGATCATCAAACTTTTATGGCTCATATAGACCAAACTGAGCAAGAATATGCTATTTAGAGCCATTGCTGATATTTTTGTGGCCAGAAAGTGAAATTCTGATAGTCTTGTAATGTAAACCAATGTAACTTTTATAGCAGTACAGCATAATGCTTACATAAAATATAGATATCAGTTGTCACTCTATATGTCTCTGTAAGATGATATTTAAAGGGATAGTTCACCCAAAAATGAAAATTTGATGTTTATCTGCTTACCCCCAGGGCATCCAAGATGTAGGTGACTTTGTTTTTTCAGTAGAACACAAACAAAGATTTTTTTTAACTCAAACCGTTGCAGTCTATTAGTCATATACAGGTGCATCTCAATAAATTAGAATGTCATGGAAAAGTTCATTTCGTTCCTCCATGCCTCGCCGAATTGAGGCAGTAATTAAAGCAAAAGGAGCCCCTACCAAGTATTGAATACATGTACAGTAAATGAACATACTTTCCAGAAGGCCAACAATTCACTAAAACATTTTTTAAAATTGGTCTTATGAAGTATTCTAATTTGTTGAGATAGTGAATTGGTGGTTTTTTTTGTTAAATGTGAGCCAAAATCATCACAATTAAAAGAACCAAAGACTTAAACTACTTGAGTCTTTGTGCATTGAATTTATTTAATACACGAGTTTCACAATTTGAGTTGAATTACTGAAATAAATGAACTTTTCCACGACATTCTAATTGATTGAGATGCACCTGTAATGGAAGTGAATGGGAATCACGGCTTTTATCTAGAATCTCAATTAGGAGTGTCAGTGGTCCATTTGAGAGATAGGTGGCGGTAATGCACTTACAAGTCTGTGATCTGCCGTAAAGCAAGAAGAAGAAGAAGACGCGTCACGTGCAGGCTGAAGAAGAAGACGTGAACGTGCTCAGGACAGTTCGGACATTGCGGTGAATCAGAGGTAAAATACGATATAAATACTGTTCAGTTTCTTGCACAGACCGATCGTTTCGTGTCTTTACACATCAATATATCATCACGAGCCGCAGGGTTTAATTTGGTTTTGTTTGTGTATGTTTTTTTGACTCTCAAAACCATGATTCCCATTCACTTCCATTATTTGACTGACAGATCATAAAAATCTTCGTTTGTGTTCTACTGAAGAAACAATGTCACCTACATCTTGGATGCCCTGGGGGTAAGCAGATAAACATCAAATAATCATTTTTGGGTGAACTATCCCTTTAAATGCTTATTTTTATGATCACTGTGTACAATGATGATTGAGAGATTAACAAATAAAATGATGTTTGAATAATCGTGTAAAAGTCCAGTAAGTGTTTATCTGGAATTATTAAAAACAACATAAAAGTTACTTTTACATTTACTTAAAAAAAATTATTAAAGATATCGCAGCAAAAAGACAGGTGAACCACAACTTGAAGGGAGACGTTTCATGCTAAAAATCATTTTACTTCTTAAAAAAGTATCAGTAGGCTTTAGGGTTAATAAAAATCTTAGTTGTGACTATTAGCTGTGGACAGAAAGACATGATAAGAGAGAACTAAAGAGGGTCAGTGGGTTTATGTAGCTCCTCAGTGACAGTGTTTGTAATTTAATTAATCATAAACTGTGGGATATAGGAGAGTCACTAAATCAATGAGATCTTTGCACTAAGTAAATACCGGGGTTTCTGCAGTCCAAGTTCATGATTTTAGGAGCAAGTATTGCTTGATTCATTTGAAGGACCCTCAGCAGCGTACAGCAGAGCATCTGTTACTGAGAAGAGGTGATGAGTCATTCACTGAAGTTCACATCTGCAGTTTTCCACCAGCGGAGGAGGAAAGCACAATCACATAAATCTAATTACATGACTATGTGGAACACTGTTTCTGATCAGATCAACATCATCTAGATTCCATTAATGAATCACTTTTGAGGAAGTACCACATAACTGATTTTAATATAAATATCACATAGGTAATAGGTTTTAAAGAAATTAAAGAAACAGTTCACACAAATGAAAATTTAGGCAATCCACAATGTAGATGAGTTTGTTCCTTTTTCACAACAGATTTGGAGAAATTT